TCGTATATTCCCCTTAGTAGCTTTTGCCAAGGCTGCCTCAAGTCGTTCCATACGCTCTTCCTGCTGTGTAATGGCTTGGTGATGTGACGTTTGCATGTGTATTAGTTGCTGCATGATCGCATCCAGTGGGTTTTGTTGTTGCGGTTCCTCCCGAGGGGGATCCATGTCTATCCTGGTATTCATCATTGAATTGATAATATAGTCTGTACGGATAATTCTTTCGCTTATTGTGCCTAGGAATGTTCTCTTCTAGGACTTTCGCTTCGTGTTTGAATCGGTATCGAATAGATGGTGATTCAGGGGTACGTTCTTCGTATGCCTAAGACTTTTTAGGACTTTCGCTTTCGTGGTTGAATCGGTATCGAATAGAGAGTGATTCAGGGGTACGTTCTTCGTGTGCCTAAGACTTTTAGGGCTTTCGCTTTCGTGGTTGAATCGGTATCAAATAGATGGTGATTCAGGGGTACGTTCTTCGTGTGCTTCGTGTGCCTAGGACCTCTAGGACTTCGCGGGTGATTTTACGATTACCGATCGAATCGGAAGATTATTGTATGTGAAGGGCTGTAGCGACAACTGTTCAATTGGGGCTAGGCCTGCATGCTGTTTACAATAATCTTGAAGAAGAGTATCTATGTGAGCCTCTACCTGGTTTTCCTGCAGGAAAAGGTCACGTGACACAACGTGATATCTCCACGGGCCTGGGCCCGTTACAGTTATTATATGTTTTTGGTGTTATAGGACCACCTATATCACTATGTAGTCTTTCTCCTCTTCTATAGAGTGTAGTATTATTAGACCTTTTATTTATATATCTTTTTGCCTTAGATCTTAGGCATATATCACAGTTTTTAACTATTTTATATAAGTATTTGTCTGATATTTTTATATTTATAATATTACTTAGTATATATTTAAGAGCTTTAGGGCCAATATGGCCTAATCTTCTATGCCAGTTATTTATCTCTATATCTTTATCTTCTAGATATAGTAGCTTATTTTGATATTTTATATTATGTATCTTATTAGGATATAGTATATTAGTATTGGTTTTATAAGACTGCAAAGGTCTTACTAGGCTTAGGGGAATATAGATAAAGGAGGAATTATTATAGATAGTTGATTACTGAGTAATCAATAAGATTAAGGACTTAGTTGCTTGATTATAGAGGATTCTGATTGATGTATATTATTATTTCTAAAGGAAAGAAGGCCCTATTTAACCTTAGAATAGTTATACCGGATAGCTAGTATTCCAGCTATCCGGCCGGTTATCTAGCTATCCGGCCGGTTATCTAGTATACCGAATATCCGGTCGGATACTAAGTATACCGAAGATCTGGCCGGCTACCTAGTATACCGAAGATCCGGTGTTTTTTAGGGTTACTAAGCCTTTTAACTAAATCTTAGTTATATCTTTAACTAGATCTTAGTTATATCTTCAACTAGATCCTAGTTATATCTTTAACTGGATCTTAGTTATATCTGTATAATATTCATATCCCCCCTTAATCTTTATATATATATATATATATAAGGATTAGCTTTGAATATTAGTATTAGTTGACACGGTGAGCGGGGGGCCAGAAACGGCCGCCATTCGCTCCCCGTTCTGCCCTTAGTGACCGCCTGCCCTAACCCGCAGCGGCCCTGCCCTTTCCGGTATCGCGTCCATTGTTGTCGCCCTGTTTAGTTTAGCGTTGCAGTGGCCGCTTTTACCGACCCAACTCTGCACCCGTTTTCTATAAAAGGCCGCTCGTCCTCATCTGCACTTCTCCCACGCACCTTCATTTCTTCCAGCCCTCCCGACATGACTGAACCCCCTTCCTTCGCGCCCCACTAGGGTCAAACGAGTTGGGTCTGGTTGCCTGATCCCTTTAATTGATCGGAGATATCGCATAACCAGGAATCCAGCTCGTTTCGGCCAGCTTTCGCCGTGGCTCAAATTCACGCTTCACGCTTCACGATCTTTGCGGGATGGATATGAATTTTCAATCGGTGGATTTTTTGCTTTATTCTCCCTTGACCTTACTATGAAGTTTTGGCTTCAGAAAGAGCTTCATCTCTAGACTGCTGTCTCGCCCTTCGGGCTGCAGGCGTCGATGTCGCGATATCCTCGCCTCATCGGTGTACAATGGATTCGGAATCTTGTCGGACATGCCGCTGGACACTGCACCGCTCTCGCCACCTCGAGGTTGCATTGCACTGCCTCTCCCCACTGTCTTTCGTGAATGCCGTGAGACCCGGTGGGCCTACAATTTCCGCGGCCCTTCGTCCGGCTAATGTGCGCCGCCAATCATTTCATCTTGCTGGCCGTCTTCACATGAAATGATGGCAAAAATTGCCGCATTTGTATCCAGTGGTGAATTTCAGGGTTGAAGGGCGGGGCGGTTGCCTTGATTCAGGCAAGGCTACGACAAAAGCATGTTTTGGGAAACGGGGGCGGACATAGCGGACATCTGGCTGCAATGCTCATGCTTCTGAGTGGTATTTGAGCTGGCCTACGACATTTGGTGGATCAAATTTATCAAGACAATGACCTCTTGAGCTGGTGTATAAAAGGAGCGCAGCACCACCACTTTGGCACTCCAGGAAGCCCAAACCCTTCTGCCCAAATCCCCATCCCCCCCTCCCCCCTACGCCAGAATATCCTTTCCCACCCTCAGTCCCCATTCCAAAACCTCAGTGCAGTTTGCTTTCCTTTGCTCCCGCTCTTTTTCCGTTTGAGATATCCTTTGAGCCACCCACTTTGAATGCTCTTTTGTGCCTGACTGAAAATGTCTAATGAATTGTTTCGTTTGGAATCTTTCCGGCCTTGGAATCCCAATGAGAAGGCATTCTCTCGGCAAGGCCCTCTGGATGTTCCTCGCTACCCAAGTCCTGTCTCTCTCAACGTCACGCCATCTCCAAACAATCCAAAGGACTCGACACTCCATTCCCGGATCCCTTGCACCCCGCAGCCTGAGCGACATCCCCTTCCGGTCCGCCCACCCCTTGAGGCTTGCGTCAATGGGGCTTCACAATCTGTCGACCAGAATCACCAGAAGCCGGATTTGAGTAGCCAGATATCGCCTGGCAATCAAGAATCGGAAAACTTCGAATTTGAGGAAATTTTGCATTTAGAGAATCTACCAGGCCCCGAAGACATGGATGGTCTAATTTTTGATTCCGTCGATGAGCATATCGAACAGCAAGCCCGCATTGGATCATGTGAATTCGACCCTTTCTTCACGCCCGATCAGCTTTCTCGGTCTATGGCATTCCAAAAGTCAACCCCATCAGAGATGGAAGATTCCGCAAGTGATTTGACCATAGATCCGGCGATGTTGGAGGACCAACATTACCGAGCTGGAGAACATCAGAACACCATAGAATCTGCACCTACTTGCACAATCCGCCAGGCAGGCTTCACCGCGGACAATCATTCCTCGCATACAGATAATGGCAGTTCTCGTGGCAGACGGTGTCACTTGCCGAAGGTGACCGATCCTGGACGGCGGTCTTCCAAAATTCAGAAAGTCTCGGTCGTCATCAGCAATCGTCCAAAAGAAAAGCACGGAAAATCGACTCAACGCCCCGGTCATCAGGAAGCTTCATTGTCCACAATTCTTGCGCAATTTTCCGCACTTAAAGCGGAGGATCGACTACAATTCTTGTCTTGGCTGTTTGAGAGTGCATTGTCTCGCTGTGTGCCTCGCCCAGAGAAAGTCAACACGAATTCACGATCCATGCCAAGTGACAAGGTGACTTCATCCCGGAATCAAAATGCCTCAGCTAACTCATGCTCATCGCGAAAACGCCTGCGTTACTCTGCGGAGGAAGATTGCCTATTAGTAAAACTCAAAAAAGAGCAAGGCCTCCCATGGGAAGAAGTAATTCGGCATTTTGACGAAAAGTACCCTGGGAGGAGTCCGCAGTCTATCAAGGTGCATTGGAGTACAAAACTATCCAGGAAAAAGTCGTCTGGACTGTGACTTTGTGATTGAAGGCCTTTGACATGAACTTCAAGCTGGCCTTATTTCTCAGTCGCTAGAGAAAAGCTGAAAATGCTTCGTTCGGTGTCAAACTTTTTATGAAGCTGCATTTGCAGTATCATAATACATAGGTGAACTTACAAACCAGTGGGATTACCCAAATTTGCCCTTGAATGATGTATGATAACCTTGCGTTCGCGATAAAATTGACATTCCAGAAATAGTAAAGCCATGATTGATCTAGACCCTTCTTGAATGTGGATTCTGACGGCGAAGATCGATTCAATACTACAGTCCGGTATGCCACTACAATTTGGTGGATTTGGTGGATTTGGTTAGTTTTTGCATCTCAGTTAAAGGGAAGATCACGTAAACTGGGAGCAATTGTATGGCTATATCTCTGTGATTGTAAACTCATTTCTGTCCCTCATACTAAGATCGATAACAACCATATCAGCAAGTATTATAATATTTAATCAATATGAAAGCATCATGTATAACTCATATATCCCAAGCGGATTCAGGGCCTACTCAGGGGGTGCTTGGATCGTTGGCCAGGTTTCAGATCCTCAAGTCTCGAAGCCGCAAATCTCTGTCCCTTATATTTTGATTTCTATCGTCCACATTTTTTTCTCATCGGGCTGGGGTCACCCCATCTCGACTTCAGCCTAGGCGAAATCTGAGTAGATCCAGACCTAAATGACGGAATGTGTTCTAGTCAAGCGATTTCTACGAAAATATGGCATTAAATACGTATATGAGGCTAAATAGGTCCGTTCACTTGCATTATGCGACGTAATAGAGTCAATCGCATCGAGATAAACTCCAACAAACCTACCAGAATCTACCGTCAATTACAAAGGCTTTTCTACGGGCATGAGAATTGAAAGTAGCTTTCAATTGATAGAATCACAAAAACTAAAGCGGCAGCCCTCTGAATATTATTTGAGCCTGATATGGGATGTCATGCTCAAACGCATTACACTCACTACTAAAATATGAAAATCAACGGTAACACAGCAGCTCTTTTCATGTGCTGCTTTCTCGGACCCAAATTTCTTCCATTTCTTGAAGAAAGTATGTCAATCTGATGTTTGAAGAGTACCTGATCGCTTTCTTCAAGCTTGGAAGGTCTCTGGCACGTTTATCACGGCAAAGAGCTCGCACGATTGCTTCATTTCCTTCTTGTGCTGCCAGTTGAAGCGCTGTTTCTCCAAAACTGTTTTCGGCCTTGCAGTTCAGCCTTTCATCTTGGAGCAGAATTTCCACGATTTCTAGATTCCCGCTTGACGCTGCCACTGACAATGCAGTGCTTCCAAGCAATGTAGGCGAGTTGACATCGATACCACCACACCGGCCAATCAACAACTTCGCGATCTCAGTATGACCATTTTCGATTGCGATGAAAAGAGGAGATTTGTTCCAGACCGATTTGTCGAAATCGACATCATTGTGGTCAAGAAGCCGACGTACGATCTCCATATGGCCCTTCTCACAGGCATAGAAAATCGGCGAGGCATTTCGAACATTCAGCGCAATATCTTGTCTCGTGAGAAGTACCTCCAGCAATCGTAGACTGCCACTTAATGCAGCATAGGTGATGGGAGTCCAGCCGCATCCGTCCCGAATATTCGGATCTAGGCTCTCAATTTCGAGGAGAACACACACGAGCAGAATATTGCCATTTTGTACGGCATAATGAAGGGCCGTTTGCCCGTGTCGGCAGGTCGCGTTGATCTCAGCTGACTCCTCGGATAAAATTTGCATGGCCGCAGACTGTTGATCCTCACGAATAGCAATACAGAGAGGTGTGACTTCGTCCGCGTCACGGGAATTGATTTCGATGTTGGGAAAAGCTAATAAAATCTTCACGGTCGATTTGTGCCCATGCTTTGCGGCTAAATGAAGCGCTGTTGCTCCCCTTGTATCGGTAGCATTAATAGGTATCATGTTGTAATCGAGAAAAGTTTGCAAAATATCACTGTGTCCTTTTATGGCTGCTTGATGAAGCAAACTCTGACCCTTTCGGTTCCTGATGTTGAGATTTGCTCCGTAGGAAATCAACATTTGGACCATTTCCTTTGACCCTTTGCGCGTGGCAATAAATAGCGGATGCTCACGGCTGCTTGGGCCATCCAGGGTTGCCGCTGAAGGCTTCGTTTTGACGTGGTCAAGCAGTATGGTAAGAATGGTACTGTTCTGATTCAAGATAGCTAGGTTAATGGGGTCGATTCCTTTGCAGTCGGCTGTAAAAGTGTCAACCCCACTTTCCAGGAAGGCCCGAACCAAATCCTTATCCTGATGGGCCGTAGCATACCAGATCGCATTGCGGCCCTTGCTATCCCGAGCAGTCACGTCTGTACCAGAGCACCCCAAAAGATCTCTGACTACAGGCAAGAACTTCCTTTGGAGGGAGTACAGTAATGGCGTTTGCTGATGATCATCTCTCCAATTGAGATCTGCCCCGCTCTTGATCAAAGAACGAATCATTTGATACCTTTCTGTTCGAATACCTCGAATATAGAACAGCGGTGTCCGAAATCTATCATCCGTCGTGTTTGGGTTTGCTCGATACTCTTCGAGTAGGGTTTTCGCGAGTTTCGATTGGTTGTGCTGGATGGCCCAGATCAGAGCAGAGCTATCCTGGCAGCGGACATTGAAGGCGTAGAGAAGCGGTAGGAATAGAAGACTTGATCGTTTATTCAATTTTGCCATTGAAAGCAAATCCGGTGAGAAATCTAAAAAGTCTGCTAGACAGAAAAGTAGCTCTAGGGGAAGAGAAAGGAGCTTCATCTTGTTTGTTTAATGATAAAGCTTGTTGGATATGCGGAATACGCCACGTCGTTCGCTGGAAGCGGCGTAAGAATGAACATATAGTGAACAGTTTATCGAGTGTCGTAGCTAGGCCTGACAACTGCGACTCTGAATAAGTAGGGCGGTACGTGTATTTATTATATGTCATTGGAAATTGCAATGCAGTAGAAGCATCTAGACTTCCGTTACTCCTGGGAGCAGGGTTAGCTCCTAGGAACTATGCGTGCATTTTTGGGAAATTTAAATGAAAAATGAGACGTAGGTGGTGTTGAATTATAATATAAGTTGCTAGTAAGCTACCATTTTTTGGAACCCGCTATTGAAATCTAGTCTTGTTTATTTCATGCTGCCATTCGTACCTGGAAATATTCATGCTTATTTCAAAAAGTGGCGATTGTGATTCAAGAATTACCTCAATACTGATTCTTGTAGCCTAGGCCAAAGAAACAGAAGCCTCTTCAGCGCCGGCAATCACCCGATCATCATCTTCGATAAATAGCTCCAGCCAGAAAAAGGGCACAAAATGTTAGCCACATGGAGGCAGTGAAAGAGGGAGCAGAACCATTGGATATATTTGTAGGCAAAGCCGGGCCAATCGGTATGAATGTCCGTAAGCCAGGTGTGGTGATGACTGTCAGCGGCACGGTCGGGAGCGGGAATGTTGGAAGGATCAATGTTAAAGGAAGGTTTGTATTCTCCAGGTATTCGGTTTGCCCAGCATGAGATCCTTCGTGAGAAGAATCTGTTCGTGCATGATGAGCATTCGGAAGTTGTTCATGCTGGGCATCGTTTTGTACCAAACTTCTCACATCTCTACTTTTCGTCCATTAGTGACGTTTCAAATTTGTTTCCACATGCAACTTACTCGTCTTGCGTTGGTTCCTGCGTCTTGAAGCCTGACATGGAGAAGCAATATCGTAGCACAAATGGGAACTCAGGCGGGCGATAAATTTGTGTGAATCTATCAAATTAAGGAAGTTTGACCACGAAGAGGAGGACGGAGGATCCTGATGATACAAGAACTACTTATTTTTATAACTCAGTCAATTGAAATTGAAATTGAGTGCCTCTCAAAAAGAAGGGATCTCACCATATTCGGCTTTCGAAATCAAGTGTGACGAATTCACAAAGGTGCGGTCCCCTTTCCCATAACTCTGATCAACAATCTCCCTCTTAATAAACACGTTGAAAGAAATGTACAAATACCACCTACAGTCTCATTATACTGAAATGTATTCTTGATTAAAATGGTTACACACGCGATTTGATCTGAGACGGGATGATTTTGGCCTTGACTGCCAGGACGCTGTCTTGGACTTTTGGCTAAAAAGTGCAGATCAATCTTAGAGGACTTGACATAGTTGGAGAAGATATTCCAACATATTCTCCCAGGAGGTTATGTATATAGTTGAGTGGAGTAAATGCTTCGACTTTTTCCAAAAAATCAAAAAGAATATAAAACCAAATATTGATGATTCTTGGAAACCAAACACTAAGTCTAGTACGACAGCGCGACAAAGGTCAAAGACAGTGGGTGATGTGGTTACTCTACAATCAGGAAACTTAAATCAATTCATGTATGTATAGGTGGCTATGAGAGATCAATTGATACGGATTCTAATTTCAAGAAAGACTGCTATCTATCTAACTCACTAACTACTGTTGCCTCACTCATTCTTTGATGTTCAAACGACTTAACAAAACGACGCGGTAGATCAAAGTGTAAAACTACAATTACTTCGCAATTAACGGACAGGAATGGGGGTATTCTCTGACTTGTGGCTAGGGCCGTCTCCAGAGCTTCTCACGGTCTCCAGATAGACATCATAAAGCGCTTCAAGCTCTACTTTTCGCTTCTCTTTATCTAGATCGCTGAGCTTTTCCCATTCGTCACCCTTCATTTTCTGCTCCATGAATTCCTCTTTGGTTTTGATCGCACTTTTATCAGACTGCAGATTGTCTGCCTGCCGCCGGAAGCCGTTGGGAGTTTCGGTTTTGATTTTGGCAGCATCTCGGTCTTGCTTTTCTTTTCGATCTTGTCGGTATTGGTCTATCGTCATGTCGGGTGGACAGGGAGTCGGCGAACGTTCATAGACGCTACGTCCTTGAGAATCAAACTTCGGGGCAACTCCCTTCTGATAATCTGCAAAGCGTTTCTTTTGATTTTCCCAGATCTCGTTCGTCTTTTCCTCGCTTGCTTTCTTACCACCCCAGAAGCGGACAAGCTCGGTTTTCGGCTCCCAAGAGCACCCCCTCACCAAGTTCTCATCGTCGCCAGACCCGATATTCTTCCATTTAACTTTCATCCAGGTAGATTTTCTTTTCCCATTGCTACACACAATGCCATAAATTCCCACGAAATTCTCCCTTGTGTATCGAGGGATCGTTTTGCCTGAGGGTTCTTTGTCCTTCAGTCGAGAAATCCGCGCTGCTTTATCTGAAATGTAGACTTTGTCGGGATCGGAGTAGCCTCTTCTCCGTTCGAAGCGGTAAGAGGCGTATTTGAAAGGTCCATCTTGGATGATGACAAAAGACGAGCCATTCAGGGTTCCCCATCCATCTATAACGACATCTTCATCATACTCTTTGTCTCCGCTGCTCTTGCTACCCTTCGCTTTCTTTTCTTTTGGGGTGAGAACTGCCAAGCAGCCATCTTCCAATTGGTCTGGAGTAGATACCTCGTCCTGGAGAGCTTCTGTTTCGACAGATGAACCCTGATGAGCGGGGGTTTTTTGGAGTTGCTCTTCTGCCCCAGGAGAAATCCCATTTTTGACCGAGCGAGGATGATTTTGATCTGCAGTCTTAGGTTCCAAGTACTGCATGTCGACATCTTCTGTTTCATTTGGTTCCGATATAACAAAATGGGGTGGCTGATGGGGTGCGACTTCTTCTGTGGCATTGTTTTTGGATCGGGAAGACTGTTCACTGTTGATTGGTGCCTGGCCCGTATGATCTTTTATGACGGATTGTTGGAGGCCGGCGTTTATTTTTTCACGAGAGATAGTTCCATCGTTCATTCCTTGTTCCAATCTTTCTAAACTTTCGCCTTTGTCCTTCTTCCCGTCTTTTGCAGAAAAATATTTATTTATACCGTTATTTTTCTCTGCATCCTTAGGCTTTTTCTCCTTTTGCGGCGCCATTTTAGCTGATTGAATTGAACAATGGTGAACTTAAAATCGAAGATGGAATGAAGAGGAAAAACCAGGGCTATAAGTCAGACTATTTATCTTGTTCGCAGAATCTATTTATTCCAACTTGGGGGCATAATAACCCCTCAGATAAATTTTGAAGCTGCAGTTTGCTTTTAAATAACAGAAACATGACCCAAAATTTGACTTCATTCCATCTAATACTTGCGCATTTTACGACAATCTACTGCCGTGAATAGTTGACTGTTAAGCACGATATGACCCTAGTGTATTATTTGGAAAAGAATTCAAGAGCCATCAAGTTTTGTTTTGCAGCCAAGGATATTTTCAACATAGACATTCCTATTCAAATCTTGTTTGAAGAATCAAGTAATCAACAATGATAAATAAGAAGCGCACACTGGCAGCAAAAAGTTCACCTGGCCCGGAAAATTTAGTGATGCAAGATTTAAAATTTCTTCAGGTCTTAAATACCCATAGTCAATATCTTCTTGACATGGGAAATGACTTCCAACTTACATCACTCTTGAGGAAGTAAAAAGCTGAAATAATTCTTAGTTTCGAAAATGGAGAGGCTCACAATTACCAAGCGACCATCCGATCACGTTATATGGGAGGACTTTATTGAAGCAAATTTCAGATTTAGATAATGGTCACAAAGTCATACAATTAAACGGATTCTCGCTATACTGTATTAGATGTAAGATAACTGTGAATGATTGATTTTACTTTTTACAGGACATATTGATTTATGAAATTGTATCATGAAATTTTTCGACGGCGGAATCCCCTCGCGAGAGTTGAAATAGCCCTTTGGTATCATCTTAGTCACGAAAGTAAAAATTGTCTGGGGGAAGATTCATCGCACTTACTGCATTTCCTGAGCGGGCTATTTGGGTACTGAAGGTCTCCGCATAAATGGATAGCATACTATGTAACTTAAGAAATTTTATGGATATTATTTTCTTCTAACAATCCCAACCCCTGCAGCAAGAACTTTCAAAAGCACCTTCGCACCAAAGGGTCTTCAAAAATTCGCCACATGCTTTTCGGCTAACGAAGACCACTCCACGTGACAGTACAGACTACTTGCTGGCATCTGATTTTCTGTCCTTGATGCAGAAGCATTTGCCTTTTGTGGGATACTAGGAGTCAAGGATCGTAGAATAAATCGGGGGTACAAAATGATTTCCTTCCCAAGGTCTGTCTTAGCTATGAGAAGGGCCATACACGGCTTGATTACTTCATAGCTCGCACATGCTGCAAGCCATAGAAGTATTTAGATCGGGAATTCGTTCGACCATCTTTGATTTTAGATTATAGTAAATAATAATGGTCAATACCATTAGTTTCAGATAAGCTACATCCTTGGTAAACTGGTGACATCTTGAGGATCAAAAGAATAAGATTGATTCTGTTCAATCATGCGATTAGCCGACGATATTCGTCCAGGTAGTGAGCCAAATCCTCCCATATGCCGCTTTCTCGAGTTGGCTTATCGAAACAGCGGGCCATGCTATGTGTTGGCTGACCAAGATTTGTCGTTTCGTAATCGTGAGATGTTTTAACAATTGGGGGCTTGGAGCGGTTTCTCTTCTACGCATTAGCACTTCATGGAAAGTCATATTAAGATATTGAACTTTCTTTTCGCCCTTACCATGTCCTCCGCTGACGGTGGAGTGCTGTTTGGGTGAGAATGGTACGTAACGATTTGACCGTCTGGGAGCTCCATAACCAGCCAGCTTTTGATCCCATACAGAAGCCAAAATTCATTGTGACGGCGAAGCAGGTTGTTACGGCGTTTTCGTAGTTGCTCTTTCTTGACCCGAG